CATATCTGCATTTTACCTAAATCAAATAAACACATTTTTTATTTATACATAAATATATAATTCAATATTTAGATATTAATATCAATAATACATAAAACCATCAATAAGAATATGCATATATTAAAACTTCTGAAAACTGAAATAGAGCTTCTTATGCCAGCTCTTAAAAAGGGTGTAATTTAATGAAAAATAACTGGCTATGTGCCTTTAATAGGACCCTAAAGATTATGTCATATTATATTAATGAGAACAAATCTTACTGGATCCTATTACATTTAAGAGGAGGAGCATGTTAATTTGTTCCAGCATGGGATATAAATGCCTTTATAGAACAGCCAAGTTTTAAACGCGCCTCAGTTATAGGCAGCTTAGCTCATCTGAGTCTTCCCCCATATGAATCAGAACTAATGCTGTTTGAGTGTGAATATAATGTTTGGACTGAATTCAGATCGACTGGAAGCCGCTCTAGTTGTGCTTGGAGTGAAAGTGAACTGGGATTCAATTGGATTAGCATCAGATGAGAGAGGTATCTAGCTTTCTTACTCAGGATTTAGATCTGCTTAAACACCAATCCAGCTAGTTTCTCACCCAGCTACTGGATCTGAACCTGACAGACCCATGCCTAGATGAGACAAACACACACAGAGAGAGAGAGAGAGAGAGAGAGAGAGAGAGAGAGATCGCATTATTGCATGATATCACAATGGGGCTAAATTAAAATAACAGAATATTATGGTTTTAACTTTTTATCAAATAAATGGCACCTTGGTGAGCATAAGAGACTTCTTTCAAAAATATAAAAAAATAGAAACTTTTAAAGACCCCAAACTTTTCAATGTAGCATGAAAAAAATAACAACATATTTTTACAATTTTCCTCTGTGACAATGAACCATGAATTCCCCAGGCCTCACACAAACAAATTACCATCAACAAGCATACCATGGTGGTCAGAAGAACACTTGTTGCTTATTATTTTTCACATAACTGGCAATCTCTTTTACATAGTTTTTTTTTTTTTTTTTTGTGGGGACAAGTGAAACATTCACATTTTAAGACTTGTTATCTTCAGAAGACCAGGGAGATTGCCCTCTCTGAAGGAAGGTGTGTGAACGTGACATATCTAACTAAAATTCAGGAAATGGTTAGTAGGTAATTCAAACCAATTTTTTATCAGCAGAGGTACAGAAAAAGCTAGAGAGAAACAGAAAGAAAAGAGGAAGCTGTTGCACTAGGTTCTTATCTGTTAACGCACACATACACAAGCCTGGATGGGTGTGAAATACACTACTGACTGTGCTATGATCTGTACTCCTGTTTCCTCGGCAGAACTTGCTCTCAATCTAAAACTAAATTTAAGCAACTCTGTTTGTAATACTATGCCAAAGTAACACATTCAAAGTATGACACAGATTCATAAAGCAGACAATTTTTCCATAAACAGCCTACTACTATTTCAAACCCCCCCCCCCACCACTTTTTGATGGTTAAAGAAAGATCATATGAGGTTGTTCTGACACCGTTTTAAATGACAGATTTATGCAGTCTCAAAGATCTCAACCCATCAAAAATGATTTCATCTCTAGTCTAAATTTGTCAAACTATCAAAAGTTTCAGCTGAGATCTACATCAAATACGGTGCCACAATCTCTAAGCTTCAGTTTGATAGAGGGAACCCAAAGGCTTTGAGAAAGATTTTTTTTCCAGCATGTTGTTGGGAAACACACACACACACACAGAGGACTTCACTTGGAACCACTAGAAGCTTGACAGACTCCAGTTTTGTTTTAATTCGATTCTGAGGTGAGACAGACTGTTCTGGCAACACTGCAGTCTCGGCTGATATGTGATGGGATTAAACAAGGGATATAAAAAAAATTAAGTGTGAAAATGGTGATCTAATTTATCACCTTTAGATTGCATTGTGTGCTAAGGCAATAATATAAGGTGTATACTAAGAGTAAAAAATATGCAATACTTGCCAATACTATTATATATTAACAGTATGTTTCTTGAGCACCAAATCAGCATATTAGAATGATTTCTGAATGATCATGTGACACTGAAGACTGAAGAGTAATGGCTGCTGAAAATTCTGCTTTACCATCATATGAATAAATTATGTTTTAGGAAAACAGTTATATTAAAATGTAATAATAATAATGATCAAATAAATTCAGCCTTTGAAGAAAAAAAAAGTTAATAAATTTTCCTCAGAGGTAAAAGTATTTCTAAGATGGGAGTCTTTGATTTGACTCATTCCTATCAGTGAGGTTCAGAGTATAATACTTAGAATTCGACATAAACCATGTTTTGAACACACTTCAGTCAACAGCTCAAGGGCATGAGTCGACTCAACCCTGATATGTATCACAACTAATCCTGTTCGAGTGCAAGTAGAATGTTTGAACTGAATTCAGATTTCCTGGAAACCTGTTAGTTGTGCTCAGACTGAAAATGAACAGGGATTCAAGTGGATTAGCACCTCCTAATAAAATTATAAGCCAGCTGGCAAGATGCCCCCTTTTATTTTCTGGACAAAGCCAATTTATACTTATAAATGGTGCTTGGTGAGTGTTAATTTTGTACCCTGAATATGCTTGATAGCAGACCTTTCTAGCTAAAACAGCAAAAGAAAATGATCCCTGTTAGAGGGACACTTGCAGACAGTAACAATCTATCTCCATGTGTCATTTCCCAACACTCCACAAACCACACCCACCTCATACTGTTATTTCCTGTCTAGGGTTCCACGCAAGTCAACAAGAACAACATACATCAATATCGCTCTCCTCTCCTCCTCTATCATCTCCACCCCTCTTTTCTCCCTCTCTCTCCTCCTATCCCTGGCAACTACAAAAAAAATCATTCAATTCCCGTGGGCACCTCTGACCTCATTCATTCATCTCGCTCTCACACACACCTCTTGAAAAGACAGCAGTTTTGCTTGTAGCGATTACACAGCGTACTCCTTCATCCTTTGAACTCCTTTCACGCACTAGTCTCCTTTTTTCTCTCTCTGCCTCCTTTCATCTCTCCTCCCTCTTTTGTCTTCAAGGTAGAGATGCCCGGCAGTGATGACTGACAGCCTAACCAGAGAAAGAACGAACGAGATTTAGCAGAAAGATAGTCATGATTGCTCTCCAGTGGCTGAACGATGCTATTACACTTTCTTAAAATTCTAACGTCCATATCTACATGTGCATTCTTAGTATGCAGACATCTGTGGTAACTACTGGACAGATTGGCTGGCAGTATTCTAGAGTTTAAACCAACAATAGTCACAGTCACAGCGCTGAAAACTGGAGCCATTTTCTAGCAATGTGGCCGCTATTAATGCTCAGTTCTGCAGATGAGCTCTACACTACAAACTTGAGCTGCATATTTAACATACACTTCATTAAAAAGACGAGCTGCTGTCAGCCCACTCATAATAACTATTATGAGAGGTTTAGTCATGCCTGTCTGGGTCATAATTCTGGCTCCATCTCAAATTGAAGTAATATTTAAACCACACAATGAGTTTGGATGCAGTCTCAGAAATTAACCAAATATTAACTGGGATTGTCAAAAAGCCCAAGACATTTAAATATGGAGGAATAAATGCCCCTGTATTTTTTATACAATACCATTCAAAAGGTTTGGGGACAGTAAGTTTTTTTTTAATTGTTTTTGAAATAAGTCTTATTTAATCAAGAATACAGTAAAAACAGTAATATTGTGATATATTTTTACAATGAAAAAAACTATTTAACATTTTAAAATGTAATTTATTCTGGTGATTACAAAGCTGAATGAAGTGTCATATGATTCCTCATTCTAATATGCTGATTTGGTGATTGTCAAGAAACATTTATTATCAAATTTGAAAACAGCTGTGCTGCCTAATATTTTTGTGGAAAGTGTTATCCAGTTTTTTTTAGGATTCTGTCAAGTAAAAAAAAAAAAGAAGTGCCTTAAAATCAGTTTCATGGGGCAAATCTGTTAACATAAGTTTTTTTTTTTTTTAATGACTGAAGTGTCAAAACTTTACAATATCCTATAGATTAATAACAGTTAATGCAATTGCTAATACTATTACAGCATTTATTAATCTAGGTTAATGTTTATATCTAACACAAATCTATCATATACAAAAACATTGTATAAATTAACATTAGTTGATGTACTATGAACATATATGAATAAATAAACAAACTAGATTAACGAATGAAGTAAAAAAAAATTGTTGGTTACCTAATGCATTAACTAATAACCCTAACTGTTAAGTCTCCCTAAAATAAATAACAAACATTTGCACACTTGAAAAACAACCAGTTCAGAGGTTGAAGCAGACACTCTTTTAATTATGAAGCCTCTGCGGGTTGCTGTTTTTTAAAATACATTGAGTGAAATCACCACTATCAAAAACTTTGAATTGTGAGAATGTTACACAGTCACAATAAACGTGTTTAGTACTCTCAGGGCTTTGAATACTGTGTAGTGTATGGCACAGATCTGTGAAAAGTGAGAGTACCAACGCATCTCAACTATATGGCACACGAGGAATCTCAGTAGTACACCTGTACACTTTGAGTGGCATAAACAGTGAGGGACACTGGGGGAAACTCGAGAATTAAGACTTTATATTTGGTACAGATAAGACTATATTTATATTAAAGGAAGTAGCATCCCAGATCATGACATTTCAAGAATGCCATATGATCGCCAACCACGCTGACATGATTCCTAATAAGAAACAGTGGTGACAGATACTTTATTGCATGTGCATCTATCAGACTTTGAGAACAAATGTGCTACACTGTCAATATGTGTTCAGAGTTGAACAAATAGAGCCGGGCACTTACACCAATTAAACATTATTACACAGAATACATATACATGCAGGAGGTCAGAATCTATGGATATGGTGCAAGGGAATTTAAAGGGGTCATATGATGCGATTTCAATTTTTCCTTTCTCTTTGGAGTGTTACAAGCTCTTGGTGCATAAAGAAGTGTTAAAGAAAACAACTTCTTTTGACATTGGTAGGGGCGAATTCTCAGACTAAATAGAATTTATTGGATGAAAGGGTTGAATAGTGACAGATTTAGTGGGGTCCATCCTGCCTTGTGTAGTGCATTTCAATGGTAAAACTGTCATTTTTTAAGAGCAAGAGGACTATTGGACTATTCAGACTAGATGGTCAGGCAATTATGGCTATGAGGAACGTATCTAAAGTGTAATAGCTGAGAAAAATGGAAGAGTTAAGGGAGAGAGTTTGTGGCTGTTGGTGTATAATGTCTGCAGAGGAGATGCTATAGTTGGGGAATTGGGGGAAGATTAAGGGAGTCCAGGGCGCTGTGGTAAAGTTCTCTTAATGCTCTCAGCAACAATAAACGACAAAACATCTGATTAAAAAGATGAGGCAGGGGCTCCTAAAGAGAGAGAGAGAAAGAAAGAAAGAAAGAGAAGGATCAGAAAGTTAATGGCCCTGAACATGTTTAATTACATAAATTACTGTTAATGCACATTAAATCACTGATTCATGAACAACCACACAGATGCATAATGTCTTACCCCAAGGACGTGGACTCTGTTGTAGTAGGAGCTAAAATCTTTACTGAGAGACACCAAGAATCTGCACACCTGACAAGACAAACAAAACACACACATTTCAGTAATGGATGGCTGTATTAATGAAGCCAAGACAGCAGATAGAAGAAGAGATTTGACTGGCTGAGATTACTAGGAATTGCCTTAAAATCAAAACCACATCACAAAGTCCATCTGACAAAACAAAACTTTTTTTTTTTTTTAAGTACCTGTTCAGTCCTTAAATTAACTCTGGCTGTACCCCCTTCGTGCCATAGGATCTGTCCTGATTGGTCCTGCAGCTCAGAGAATGGAATGAGGTAATTGAAGAGAAGAAGCCACTCCCCCTAAAGACAATGAAATATAACAACTTAAAACAAACTTTCTATACCACTAAACACAAAACAGAGCTTGTTTGAATACATTTGGCATATGTTTTTATTCATAGCAACTGAAGAATACTTGAATAGACAAATAAGACTTTTAGCAAAAAGAGGATCATTAAGGCATGTTAGTTACATATTGCTTTACCTCCTCTTTTAGGGCAGAAAAGTCCAGCTCTGCGCCTTCAGGGATTTCAGGATAAAGACCTACATATTTCAAAATAGACATGGATATTATTTCACAAATGGACACAATATTTTCCCTGTTACATTACTACTTAACATGCCGTTAATCAAAAGGCCCAAATGGAGAAAGATGGGAATACCACACCTCTGTTGCACAGGCTATATTGGCTATTGTTGTTAAATTCTACATCTGGGAAGTCTTGGCCTAATGGTTAGAGAGTCGGACTCGTAACCCAAAGGTTATGCCCACTGCTCCGGGTGTGTGTTCACGGTGTGTGTGTGCACTTAGGATGGGTTAAACGCAGAGCACTAATTCCTAGTATGGGTAACCATACTTGGCCACATGTCACGTCACTTTCACTGCTGTATTTTTTCTGTGCATTTTTACATTGTCACAGAGCACAGACAATCTCTTTCACTGCTTTTCTATTACCTAAGTTTAGAATAGTAACTAGCAGTAAAAAACATAGCATTTGTCTAATAAAATTACATTTTAAACATATATACAACATCAAATTGTTCAAATGTGGGTGTAGTCATACTGCATGCGCTTTAAAAAACAACTTCTCCATGACTACTGTCTTGATAATACTGCTTGGAACATGATTCATAAGTCAAGAACACTACAGTGTGTGTGTATGTGTGTGTTACCTTGCTCCACCCCTTTCTCGTAGCTGCTGAAAAGTGTGTGAAGACGAGCACAGTTATACATGACAAAGACTCCACCCCTGGGGCCCTTTGTGGACACACCACTGTCCCGCTGAACATCTAAGGTCACCTGAAAGAGAGCTGTCAATCATCTCTGATGCAGGAAAATATATTCCACACACAAACACACATGCAAATACACTCACCGGACTTGTGTGCACTGTGGACAGCAGTTCAAACCTCACGGTAGCCGAGGTCATGACTCTAATGATGTCATCCCATGTCTGACCTAAAAGAGTTTAAGGAGAGTTTACATCTGGCATTAACATGCATCACAATATGGCTGTAAAATTAACTTTTCAAGACTGCACAGATAAACACACCTTCAACTTGGTCTCCATACTTCATTTCTGAGGCCTCTTTCATCTGAGCTTTTCTTAACCTACAGAAATACACAGCCAAACATGTACCACTGTAGTCATCAGACTTATAGACTGAAGTCTTATAAGAATGATTTATAGAGTTGATAAAGCATTAAATAGAGTTGATAAAGAGTTGCTGTTCTAAAGTTTTGCCTTACTGAAGATACTGAGCTGCATTCATCTGAATGCCAAGAGTTTTAACAGGACCACAAATCACCAATCTCTAATACAGAGGAAGAAAGCAATTATTCATTTATTTATTCATTCATTCATTCATTTTCCAGCAGAGATTGTCTAAAATGTAGTCATGTCCAAATGTGCACCATCTGAGCTGAAAATTGTGTATTCATCCATTTGGGAGTATTACAATGGCTTGATATTGCTGTAAAGACTTTTTACAACTTATTATGACTTATTATGGGTTTCCTTTAATGTCTTTTAGATTTTATGCCATCAATATGCTACTTTACACCTAAAACAGTTATATACACTTTTACACATACAGTTTTACAAACTTGCTCTTCCAGGAAGTGGAGAATAAATATTGATCAGATCCAATGAAGTGCTCTCTAAATTAGCGTGACCCTTGCCCATTTCCAGATGCTACTAATTAAGATGTACCAAATCATGGTTCATAGCTGTGGTTCATAGCATGGTTAATAGCTGTGATATAACTAAAACCTACTGGCTACTTTAGGAAAAAAAAATAAAAATAAAAGAATGATTCCTTTGATAGGTTCAACCAAAAGTTCCTGTTACAGGAAATAGCAAATACAAAACAGAAAGCAATTATTTAATATGTAAAGCATGCTGAAACAGCTGATGGGCAAATGTGTCTGTGGAGGCAGAGTGTAAAACCTGCACTGCCGTTGCACCCGCCGCTCTCCACAACATGGCTGTTTGTTGCTGACGAAACTCATCCTGACAGGAAGTGACATGCAGGACTGTTGCCGTAGAGACCTGAAATAGAGAAATCCATTACAAGCCTCCAACTAAAATATGGTAACTCACTGTAATGTAAAGCAGACAGAGGGTACTTTTGACTCACAGGGAGATCTGCGGTTGCACTGTCCAGCTGGGCCAGATGACACAAAGCTTCTCTCTGCACTGAAAAGAGAGAAATTACTGACTTATGTATAATACAGAAGAAAACTAAGGCTATCCAATAGTTTATCACTGAAACACTATAGGAGTAAAGCAGTCCTTGTAAAAAATCTGGTTGCCATGGCTCAGTGCGGTCCAGTTCATCTCATCATTTCATCTTTTCTCACCACATGTTCCTTTTCAACATTTTATTCTTCACAATGTTAGTTTGTGACAAATCACATCTAAAAGCTCACCAGAGATGCTTTTGTGCAGTAACCATAATTTCCTGCACAACTTCTATATGTTTCGTTAAGTGCTGACATGTCTCATCTCAGGCATTGTGGACGAATTTAGTGATGCATTGGTATTAAAATCATTACTACTGATGAGATAATGATTTTCATGTTAAGGCCAATAACTGATTAATTGGCTGGAATTCTATACAACTTTATCTATTAAATTAAAAATAAAATACTACAAACTAAAATCAATCATAACAACATATAACTTTCAGTTTTGAAAAATGCATACATTTACATAAAAAATATATTTAACAGTGGCATTAAATCAATTTTAAGTGAATATTAGATCATGGCAAAAGTCTAAAGGCAAATAATGGATGAAATAATAAAGCACACTTAAATTTCCAATGTCGACTTACAGTGATATAATAATAATAATAATAATAAATAAAAATATAATAAATAGACAATAACCTATATCATACCAATAGATTGTGCATTCCTAGTTAAATTTACAGTGTGGTGCATTTTAATGCATCATAATGTGGTGCATTATGGCGTAAAAGAAAAAAAAAAGGAATAAATAACAAATGTCTTGTTTAAAAAATAAACATCAGCAACTGGAACTGTACTGGCTGATGACAGGGTTAAAATATTTATAAAATAAAATGCAATTAAAATCTCAACATCAAACATTCTACTCATGCAACCCTAATAATGACATTTACTGACCAAACAGACACAAATCTTGTATATAAACCAAACCATGAGAAATGTAACCCATTAGATCCCTAATAAACACACTACAGCTCACCTGCGCAAGAGCCAAGACTGGGATCATATCCCTGAACGTTCCCGTCCTGTACCACTTGTTTAAGGTTTATCCTAACTTCCTCTTTTATCCCTCTTTTCTCTCCCTCTATTTCCTCTCCTCTGCTTCTCCTTTTCCCCCTCTCTATCTCTCTGTCTCTGTAGGTTGAGTTCTCTAAAGCCTTTTTCATCTTCTCCTCCCTGTCCTCATTGGTCCAGCTGACAGGCACTGTCGGCCAAACAATGCCTAGTGTTTTCAGAAAGTTGACAATGTCACTGTCCTGTGGCAAGGCTGGACAAAAGGACACAGTGTACCTAAATGGAATAAAGAAAGAGTTTATTAATCTGTCCTTTTGGAGACAAAATTTATGCCAATATCATAAAAGTCAAAGCACACCCTTGTCTTCTGAGATGTGCCCCGAGGTGGTCAGCAATGAGAACGGTCCGTAGCTGCCCCAAAGCTAGTGTATCCGGAGATGGTATGGTTTGTTTGGTGTGGAGGGCAGGACAGTTGATGAGGATACAGCCCTGTCTCTGAGCAGCAGGTCTCAGATATGGCGTTATTCCACATAAAACACCTTTAAATGCTGCACAGCGATCCACACACACGCGCAGGCCCTCTGCCGTCACTTCAGAGGCTCCTATCGGCAATACACCGCTGCCATGAAGAGAGCGAACACCACTGAGAACATCAGAGGGAACCTGAAAACACACACACAACCATGAAAATTACACACGTGTATTTAGTGTAACAATTTATATATTTAGTGTAGTTGCCCAAGGACACTTTCTCATTAAATCCAAACTTTTGTTGAAAATGGTATAAAGTGATTTGAAACAATGCACAAAACCAACATGAATGCGAAGATTACATTTTCAAGTCACAACGAAATCAAAATCGACAATTCTTATTTTTGTAATATTAAAATATTGCATTTAGATTGATTTATCTTTGCACATTACTATTTTTTTTTGTCAAATAATATCTTTAAATCAAAACATTGTCCCCTCCCCCTCACAATGACATCTCTTCTCTGATGCATAAAGGCAGGACAATAATCCCTCCCTTTCACTCACATGAGATCACAGCAATTATCAAATGACAATGATCCAGCGATCCAATCAATTCCCGATTGACAAAATGAAGTCCCGCCCTACAATTCTTCTAGTTTGAGAAGCTGTTTCACCAGAATAGGGGAGAAAAGACAACTGCAATTTACGTTTTTAAGCAAACTATGAAAACTTGAGGTGAGGTCACATTCGCCGTTGTTTGGTGAAATTTTACAGGCAATATCCAGTCATTTAAAAAGAAACCCTCAAGATCTGGTGTTTCGCATGAAGAAGTTCCCCATGCAGATTTCACTCATGTTCAGGTTGGTCATACGAATCTGCTGCATTGACCAACAGAAAGCTGATTGATTTGAAAGTACTTCTGTGTGAGTTTTGCTTTTTTGCCAACGAAATTTTACCGAAATGCTTTTAAAATTCTATGGACATACATGTCGTTCAGACCTACCAACAGAAGGCTGCATCAAAAAATGGTTAACTCCCACAAAGAGTGTCAAAAGTATGTTTAAATTTTTACCCATTAATTTAACTAATATTTTAAATAATTTTTACAATCACATATTTCACAATTTATAATTGTATATGTTGCAACAACGTTTTCAAGCAACAATTCCGTAACCACAAAAGATTAGAAAATAGAGGGCGCTAAATAGATGCACGCAAACTTATGTGGTAACCATAGCAACAGTTCGCCGCTCGGGCTGTTTTCGTTGACTACTGGACATCGACAAAACATAAAAAGGTATGTTTGTTAATGCGTACTATCATAAACGTTTAGTTTAAAATGTCATTAACACTTTTGTTTTTCAGGGACGCGAAAAGACAATTCATTTAACTGAGATTTCCCTTAAAGACATTTTGACCGCCTGAAAGTCAATAAATAATTCACACAGCACAAACTAAACAAGGTTTCTCTGTAATAAATCAGTAACGTTAATAAATCAGGACGTGATTATGGCATTGCGGTTCTCCTAATAGCCTAACATACATGTTGTTTTTAATATTGGCATATTCTGACCTAGATCTAACGGCAAGTGAGGAGTTCAATAATTTCTACCGCAGGGTTCATCAAATGTTTGGTCGATGCGACCAATGTCGGCAGTCCAGCTGGCGCCCTGCGTGTCTGTGCAGAGCTCGGGCTTATATTCTGACAATTCCGTGTCAGTGACTTCGCGAAGCATAACCACACGTCCAAGCAAATGCTTGAAATATCCAACAAGCCATGCGTAATATCCCCATGTGGAGAAGCGCGAGAGCGCATCTGTCAGTAATGCAGGCCAGGAAGAGCTCATAACACAGAAAATAAAAAACGCACATGTACGTACATATTTCAGACTGACCTCTCCACCGGCGTACAACGTCGTCAGAACCGTGTTGGGTGACAAGAAGTCACGATTTCTCAGGTTTTTGGCACTGCTCTCCTTGAACCAGAGCTTCTCTCGCTCGCGGCTGATCTCGGCTTCATTTTCAGCGTCTCTTCGCAACGCTCCGCTCAACGCTTTGACGGTGGACACGATGCTGAAAGGCACGGCTTCCTCCATAATTAAGCTCAATATGTTGACATTGTTATTAGTGCCTGGACTCTGAGACTGACTGTAACAGCACTGCGGTGCTGTGCTCCGATTGATCACCAATCAAAACAGATGTATGGGGACCGGAACGTTAAGAAATGTCACTGGTTAGTTAGAGGGGGGCATATTATCTTGTAACACGAGTTCCCGGTTGCGACCTTTTGAAAGGCGCCATTTTGAGTGTGGCAAAATCAGGCCTGTCAATTACAGAACAGAAAGTAAAAGTGCTCTTTTGATAAAATACGTTTTGTTCAGAAGCTGCCGTTTTATTTTAAATAATATAGACAATTATTTTGATATTCTATGGATTACGTTTCTTCTTATCACTGATATTTTACATATTCATGTGTAGTTCACACAAAAATGCAAGTTATGTCATCTTATTTTCATTTTCTGGTTCTAAACCTACGTGACTATTTATTGTGCTATATTACAAAGTCATTTGATAGCTTTGGGTGAGGAAAAGAGTATTTATCGTCGTTAAAGTATTCACTACAAATCTTACTTGACAGCTAGGCCTATGTCACACATTTTCATTCATTTTATGTAAAACAGCAGCATGCACATTCTGCTATTAATTTCTGCTTTTCTGAAAAGAAAAGAAAACGAGGGTGAGTAAATGATAACAGAATACTTTAGTTTTTTGGTGATTGAAGGTGAAAAATTCCCTTAACTCCATAAAATGGAGCTATTTTTTTTATAGATATATATAAAATAATTAAATATAAGCCAGCCTTTTATTCTATTTAATGTTTAAGTAGGCTGCCTCAGGAATATTGTTTCCAACATAAACAAGTTTAAAAAACATCAACATATTTTTAATGTTTGACTTATGATAATACTAAAATATTTCCGTATGGAACAGTAATAAGACACCATCTGTAAATGGTTTTATATATTTATCTTTAGAAAAGCATATCAAAATGAGATCTGGTCATACTGAGGCATATTTGAATGCTGGTTGTTCAGTTGCTTATTTGAGTACTTCCGCTTTGTTTGGTGCAGGTAACAATTGACTGTAAGAGCTGAACTTGGGCCAGATTACATGTCACATGTTATGGTTGACAGTAAGATCTAGATCTCTTCCCAAAACAACTAAAACAGCAACATTGGCTCACAGATTTCACTTTATGTCCTCTAGCCAGAGTAAAATCTACAAAGCAAATTATCCAAAACCTGTTCCAGATCACTCATCTATTGAAAACGCAAACCTCTATCATTCCTCTCTATATCATCATGTAGATCTAAAAAATTCTTTGGGAGTTTTGATGATAAACGGTCAACAAGTGATGTATGACAAATGTTCTTAATTTATTATTAAATTACAGAAATAAAATTCAAATGTCTGACAAAGCATTTTAGTAAGAGATTCTGTGATTTACTGAATACTGACGATTCTGAAGATTTGTGATTGTCAGGAAGTGATGCTAATCTTGGCTGACACGAAGTTCCCGGTGGCGAAACATATTTCTGGCAATCCGGGAGAAAACGTGTCATTCCAGAGCAACATCAGAACTCATACACACACATACACATTTCTGACTCAACTATAACATTGTAGATCTATTCAAATACATTTCGAGTAATACAGAAGTAAAATTCACATTAAGTATCATATCTGAATGAGGCCAACTCCTGAATTCTTTCAACTTGGCTCAAAGATTTCACTTTATATCCTCTAGCCAGAGTAAAATCTACAAACCAAATCATCCAAAACCTGCTTCAGATCACTCAACTATTGAAAACACAAACCTCTATCATTCCTCTCCATGTAGATCTAAAAAATCTTTAGGAGTTTTGATGATAAAGGCCCTAAAGTACAAAAAAAAAAGTCGACAAGTGATGCATGACAAATGTTCTTAATTTATTGGAGAATTCCAGAGACAACATTCGAATGTCTGATGAAGCATTTTAGTAAGATATTATGTGATTTACTGATTAATGAATACTGAAGATTCTGAAGATTTGTGATTGTCAGGAAGTGATGCCAATCTTGGCTGACACGAAGTTCCCGGTGGCGAAACATATTTCTGGCGATCCGGGAGAAAACGTGTCATTCCAGAGCAACATCAGAACTCGTATACACACATACACATTTCTGACTCAACTATAACATTGTAGATCTATTCAAATACATTTCAAGTAATACAGAAGTAAAAGTCACATACAATATCATATCTGAATGAGGCCAATTCCCCCAACACTTTTTCATCTTCAAGTTCCTGCAAGAGAGGAAGGGCACGGAATCCATAGCCAGCTGTCAATCAAGAAAACAGCTGCATTATGGGTTCCGTTACCTTCCAAACTGCTGTGGCTATTTTCACAGACACTCTGTAAACAAACAAATCCACCAATATTTTTTTTTCGTATGGAAATTTCAAGCTAATTACATTTATCAAGTGTACTTTTTATCAAATTAGAAAAAAGAAATAACATTCAAACAGCTTTTAACACAAACAAGTTTGGCGCCTCTGCAAAAGATTCAAACTTGTTTATTTATCTTGTTTCATCTGTAGACTTGTCTTGAAAAACCTGTTCCCTATCAGAGAAGAGTGGGCAGAGAGAGAGGGAGGGAGAGAAGGAGAAGGGGGGTTATGCAAGGTAAATGAAGACAAAATGACGAGAGATTAAACGGGATATAAAATTGACTAAAGAAAGTCACATGAAGTAAAATGAAGGAGGAACTAGCCTGAAATATGAAGCTTCATTTTAGAAACAACAGCCTTGATGGCACTTTGTAAATACTTTAGTGAAGACTAGTTGATCTTTCACTGTCTGTCCTTCTTTTTTTTGATTTTCTCATATTTGCCAAACAGTGAATTGAATGAGGAAAAGATGAGCAGAATGAGACCAATGAATGAGAGACTGTTTGTATCAATGTACATTTCCATAATTATTTTTTCATTTCAGTGCGATCCACTTGCGAAAGAGAAGGCAAGTTAACAAATGAAAGAATCAAGTGGAGCTATAGGTGAAGATAAATGAAAGAAAACGACAAGAGAGGAGACACATTGTACGTGACGGATAAAAACAGACAGGTATGAATGAGAGGAGATGAATAATTCTATGTTACCTGCTCCTGTCATTCCTCCTCTTTCTTGCGCTCTCTCTCTGCTCCCTGGCTTGTGCGAGTTTGTCAGAGTGTTCGCGTATTTATGCCTACTGACTTCCTCCTCAGAAATCTGAGGAACATTTTCACTTTCACTTCTTCACTAGACTGCCCACAGCCTCCCCCCTCCAAACATCTCAATGTCTTTCCCTTCTCTTTTCTCTTCTGATAATTCCCATCTCTTTCTTTTAATTTATATTTTTGTCTGTTACATCAAAAAAGTGCTTCAACTACTATGGTTGATTCACTCATTTGATTGTAGGTGTAATATATGTTATTTATTCTTATTAATATATATATATATATATATGTATTTCAAATTATGAAATATATGCATATTCTTCAAATATTTTTATCTTTGAAATATATGCATATTCGCCAAATATTTTTATCAAAAAAGTTCTAGTTTTCAATATTGCTGCACAGTAATATAGATCTGTCAGTCATTTCATTTTTGCTGTGTATAAAAGCGTTGAGAGATTTGGGCCCAGCTGGGCTGAGCTCACTAATGGGCCAATATCATATTTCATTTATGAGGAGCCACCTGGAGCTCTCAGCCCAACCTGTCCAGGTGCGGATCCATTAGTGAGCATGTGTGAACGCTTGTTTGGAAAGTCCGGTAGTTTTGGAGGTGAAGGCTGGTTCCCTTGAGACACACTCGCAAAATGAGGAATAACGTACCAATGTCAATGTTGAGCAGCCATCTACCCACACACCCACAGATTCAGGATTTGAAAACCAATTTATGATGAAAAACACATGCAAGTGAAAAATGTTGTAATTTACATGACATTATTTTTATGAAGGTACTCGCATGCGCCTAACTTGAACGGTCAGTTCTCTTTTTATAACAAACTTGACAGAAATCCCATTAAAATACAACACTTCCTGATTCACACAGATCAACTGCACTCAATTATCCTGTTTGCTTCTCTGGACAGAGAATGTTGACTGTGTATTGCTTATAATGATGCATATGCAGGTATGTTTGTATTTTATTAATCAAGACAAGACAAATCTGGCAAAAAAAAATTTATATTTTCCACACAAAATTGATGATTACAATCAAAAACAATTTTTTTTTACATGTAAGGCATCTGATACAAACAGCAGACAGCATGCGTTCCCCACAAACGCAAACTGGCATATGCTTACAGACATTCACACACGATTTCTCTCCTCGCTAAGAGGAAAGGCGGCTGGGAAGACGAGAAAGAGGAAGCTGAGGTTCTCAGTGTTTGTGCAAAAGCACGTGTGGAAGTCCATTAATGGGGGTTTATGTGCGTTTGGCTATGCATGTACTGGCATCTGTAGTGTCTTCTTTAAAACAGGCGTTTCTTATAGCTGAAAGAACAAAGGTCAGTAAATTTTTTTTTTTTTTTTTTAAGTTAATTGTACATTACTCAATTCAAAAGTGTGGTTTCAGAAAGATTTTAAATTTTCTTTTTGAAAGAAGTCTCTTACACTCACAATGACATTTATTTATTTGATCAAAGATGAATATTATTACAATTTAAAATAAATATTTTCTACGTTAATTTATTTAAAATGTAATTTATTCCTGTGACGGCAAAGCTGAATTTCCAGCAGCCATTACTCCAGTCTTCAATTGTTTTTTTTTTTTAATTCTTACTGACCCCAAACTGTTGATCGGTAGTGTACAATATCTTCAGACTAAGTGTACAAATGTTCAATTACCTGTGTAGACTGTGTACTCCACCCTCCATCTGAGCTGACATTGTCCTCTTTTCAAACCTCAGTTCACCAGAATACATCATTGCCCTGAGATAGATGGAAAAAGAAAGGGGGAAAAAAGGAAAATGACAAATTGTCTCTAATTAACAACAAACATATACAGTATCTCACAGAAGTGTACACCCCTCACATTTTTGTAAATATTTTATTATATCTTTTCATGTGACAACACTGAAGAAATGACACTTTGCAACAATGTAAAGTAGTGAGTGTACAGCTTTTATAACAGTGTAAATTTGCTGTCGTCCCAGAAGGAAGCCTCTTCTAAAGATGATGCACAAGAAAGCCCGCAAACAGTTTGCTTATAAGCTGTATACTCACTACTTTACATTGTAGCAA